CTATCAAATTTAAATTTTATGTTTAAAATTTGACATCTCCTTTGGACATGCTTTAACTTTCTCTCCAACTTCTCTCTCTCCCATATATTTTCTAAAAAAATAAAAAATAAAAAGGGATATTTTGGATGCAGTCCCTAGTCCCTAACACTATTTGACTAAAACCTTAATGGTATTCAAACTTTAATCAAAGTCCCTTGACTTTGTACTCCTCATTGTATTACTATTAATATTTATAGTTGGAGAAATTAGGTTCTCATCCCTCCTTTTGCTACTTCATTGATTAAAACCTTATTCCTTTTCAATTTTTGATCAGGTCCTTGGGGATTAATAACATCATTAATTATTTCAATAATAAAATATTTTTTATTTTTAAATATATTCCTTTAGTGTTAAAAATGTTACAATTAGTATATTTATATTTATGGCTAAATTTTTTATCATATATTTTTATTTTTAGTTTGTACCCATTTTTAATTTGCAAACCTTTTTAATTTGTACCAATTTTCGTTTTCAGTTTTAATTTGTACCCATATATTAATTTCATTTTGTGCCCATATTTTTTAAAGTTTTAATTGTGTTTGTGCCCATGTGTTTATCGTCATGTGACATTGTATAATTAATCAATGATAAAAAAATTACATATAGTATATTTATGTCTTATGGCTAAATTTTTTATCATATATTTATATTTTTAGTTTGTACCCACTTTTTAGTTTTAATTTGTACCCATGTATTAATTTCTTTTTGCGCCCATATTTTTAAAAATTTCATTTGTACTCATAATTTTTTAATCTTTTATTTGTACCCTAATTTATTTATAATGTACCCATTCTTCTTTATTAATGTATTGTCACATCCCGGCCCGGGTAGGGCCACTTCCCGGACCCGCTCCACCACCGTAGCACGATATTGTCCGCTTTGGGCTTACCATTCCCTCACGGTTTTTGTTTTTGGGAACTCACGAGTAACTTCCCAGTGGATCACCCATCATGGGATTGCTCTAGCCTCTTTCTCGCTTAACTTCGGAGTTCCTAAGGAACCCGAAGCCAATGAGCTCCCAAAAGGCCTCACTTTAGGTAGGATGGGAAATACATATAAGGATCACCCCTGAGCGATGTGGGATGTCACAATCCACCCCCCTTAGGGGCCCGACGTCCTCGTCGGCACACACGCGGCCAGGGTTAGGCTCTGATACCAAATTGTCACATCCCGACCAGGGGCGGATCACTTCCCGGGCCCGCTCCACCATCGTAGCACGATATTGTCCGCTTTGGGCTTACCATTCCCTCACGATTTTGTTTTTTGGGAACTCACGAGCAACTTCCCAGTGGGTCACCCATCATGGGATTGCTCTGGCCCCCTTCTCGCTTAACTTCGGAGTTCCTACGGAACCCGAAGCCAGTGAGCTCCCAAAAGGCCTCGTTCTAGGTAGGGATGGGAAATACATATAAGGATCACCCCTGAGCGATGTGGGATGTCACATGTACCACTTTGTTATATGTGAAATGTACCAATTTTTTAAACACTATGGATACATTCTTTTGCCATTTATTATTTATTATTGTTACATAGTTTTTATCCATTTATTCAATCAAAATGTTTGAATTTTTTTATTGTAGCCGTTTCTAATAGTATTATAATGAGAGATTTTAAATTTGTAGGATTATAAATCTCATAAAATATCAAACAATTAATGTCAAAACTATAAAAATATTAATATTAATAATAATATAATGAGGTGTACAAAGTCAAGGAACTTTGATCAAACTTTGAATACCATTAAGGTTTTAGTCAAATAGTGTTAGAGACTAGCGACCGCATCCAAAATATCTCTTTATAGTTTTATAGTTTTGACATTAATTGTTTGATATTTTATGAGATTTATAATTCTATAAATTTAAAATCCCTTATTATAATACTATTAGAAATGGCTACAATAAAAAAAATTCAAACATTTTGATTGAATAAATGGATAAAAACTATGTAACAATAAGAAATAATAAATGGCAAAAGAATGTATCCATAGTGTTAAAAAATTTGGAACATTTCACATATAACAAAGTGGTATAGTAATAAAGAAGAATGGGTACATTATAAATAAATTAGGGTATAAATAAAAGATTAAAAAATTATGAGTACAAATGAAATTTTAAAAAATATGGGCACAAAAAGAATTAATGCATGGGTACAAATTAAAACTAAAAAGAAAATACTACAAATTCAAAAAAAAAACAAAAAAAAAAAAGTTGCAAATTAAAAGTGGGTACAAACTAAAAATATAAATATATGATATAAAGTTTAGGCATAAAACATAAATATTCTATATGTAAGTTTTCTATCATTAATTAATTATACAATGTCACATGACGGTAAACACATGAACACAAATACAAATAAAACTTTAAAAATTATGGGCACAAAAAGAAATTAATATATTGGTACAAATTAAAACTGAAAACGAAAATTGGTACAAATTAAAAAAGGTTTCCAAATTAAAAATGGGTACAAACTAAAAATAAAAATATATAATAAAAAATTTGGCCATAAATATAAATATACTAATTGTAACATTTTTAACACTAAAGGAATATATTTAAAAATAAAAAATATTGTATTATTGAAATAATTAATAATGTTATTAATACCCAAGGACCTTGATCAAAAATTGAAAGAGAAATTTTATTTAAACCCATGTAAGCTCTTTCTGCACCCAACTTACTCTTTGTACCCATTTGGTTTTTAACTAAACTATTAATATCTCTTTAAACTCAAATTTACTATCTTAAATACCCTCGCAAACCCAATTCAACATGTAAATTTATCTTTACACCCATTTGAAAAATAAAAACCCAAAATCAAGCATTTTATTTTCCTTAAGTCCCACAGCTTAACTTTCGTCTCTTTCCTAGTCTTGTTCATAAATATCTCTACCAACTTTATATATTTTTTGTTGTGTACAAGTTAAATATTTTATGCTTTAAATGCATGTTCGTTGTGTTCACTAAGACTTTTCCTTCATCAGCTTTGGTATATGATTTCAAAGACCTTGGTGGAGGAAGCTGCTATTGGAAGTTTGCAAAATAAAATGGAATCGACATCGTTACAATAAATCCCGGATTGGTGATTGATCCTCTCTCACAACCAACTCTGAACACAAACATGGAGCCTATTCTGAAACTCGTGAATGGTACTCCGAAGCAAGTATTTATAAAATTTCATTACTCATCAATATTTTGCATGATTTTGTCAAGTAATCATTCCTACTAGAGAACCTATTTTGAGGGGTAGGATCCATCATGATTAAAAGCTTAGGGTTTGGACGGTGGATGGTTATTAAGTTTTAAACGGAGAGCCCAAAGCTCTTCCATCAAAACGAAGATGGAAAATCCAGACTACAGCGAGGTTACAGATTTTTAACATCATCGGTGTAACAGTGAGCAACAACTAGACCGCAGTGGGTTGATCAATTTACAAAAAATTCATGAATCGAGCAGCAACAATGACACTTATTTGGCGTGTCCGTGCATCGTGGTAGACCGGGATTGATGAAAAAAGTTGAAACGCAAATACTCATCTTCTAAACTGTAAAAAATTGAAATCAAATGAACAAATAATTCATAAATCAAGTCATGGAGGATTCAAAAGTTGAAAATCACCATCCATCAATAAAAAAAACTTGTTTTTCTCTATAAGAGCTATTAGGTTTTAGCTGGAATAAACGTAGGATAAACACAGAGTGATGATAGAGTTTAATTATAGTGTGTGGGTTTATTGATAAATTTGAGTTTTATTATTAATTTTATTATGTACTTAATAGTAATTATGCAATAGGATAAAAAAGACAATTAACATTTAAAATTTAAGTTGGGTGTAAAAAGAAGTTACATGGGTTTAAATAAAATTTTCCAAATTAAAAAGGAATAAGGTTTTAATCAATGAAGTACCAAAAGGAGGGATGAAAACCTAATTTCTCCAAATAAAAAACTGCTTACTCACAAAGTATGTGGGCTTATGCTAGTAGAAAATTTTATATATATATATATATATATATATATATATGTTTTTAAATGCAAACATTCTTCCAACAAAAGAAAATGTCTATAATAATGAGTATATATAGATTACACCATTGTTGAAGATTTCGGTGGCGTTGGAAATCGAGATGGCTTGCAACGACGATAGTGCTTACAAATACAATTGTGCCTGTATTCAGTGAAAGCTACCAAAATGTTGAGAATTTTCTGTTACAATGTACATTAAAATGTGCATAATTTTAGGCTGATTTTGTGGAACACTAGACTCATGATGGGCTTGTAGCATCAGCAAAATGCGATTGAACTTATGTACCTATATAGTTTTCGATTGATCACTACTGAATTGTTACATCGTTTTCAGCTGGTTGTTAATGAATTCCAAGACTCATGATTGGCTTCAAGTATTCAGGGAAAGCAACTAAATATTTTGGCGATTGTCGTTTGTTGGCTACTGAAACGTTACACACTTTTTGATTGGTTGTTACCGCTCAAACTTATATTTATGGCTTCAACAATCATTTCATTTTAGAAAAACAACTATTTTTTTATTAAAAAAAATTGAAGGATGCCAAAATAGCCACGTTAAATACTTATGTGAATTAAAAAAAAGAGGTTGTTTTAAGGGGTAAGATCAGCCAAAAATATCTCAATCTTTTGTGTCAAGTTCGTCCACTTCTTGGCCATATTCAGAAATCAATTTCTTTATGCTCAATGGTTGTTCGACCTCATTTGCCCTGCAATTTAACCCACCAACTCAATGGACGAACCTCCCAACTTTTTAAAAAATCATGCACCAAACACATGTCCACCTCACAGACCGTAACACACACAAACTATTCAAAATCTTTCCCTTATGAGAACTAAACCACACAAATGTAAAACCATAAAGCTAGCATGAAACGTAGATAACTCACACACCATACAACCCTATATTTCATGACGTGTAATGTAAACCCCCACCCATTTTCTCTCTGGTTTTGCTTTAGTCCCTCACACCCACACAAACACACAAATTAATTGCAAGCTCCGTTTATAAAATCTTAAGTACCTAGCAGATCTCATAGAGAAGAATCACAGTCCGAGCTAGCTAGCTCCAATATGAAGAGAACCCATTACTCATTCATGGAAGAAAACCCTAACCCTAACAACAATCTTATTCACATGAGCAACCAACAGAATCCTGCATTTTCCGGGAAAAGAAACAAACACAGTGACGTGATCGATCTTGTGGGATCACAAAGCATGCAAGCTGTCGGCGGATATGTTAGTATTCCTCAGATGGATAACTTAGGGCATGAGAGACTTAAGAGCCACCAAGAGGAGGTGGCCGGCCACGTGGTGATACCGGATTCATGGGGTCAGGAGGAGTTGCTCAAGGATTGGATCGACTACTCTCCCTTTGATGCGTTGTTAGTGCCAGAAGGACTCACTTCAGCTCGTGAAGCACTTGCTATGGAGGGACGTCGAGCAAATACTTCCCATGGAGTGCTGAGGATAGAGAGCAGGTGTTGAGAAACTTTGATATTTTTGGCCTTTAATTTATATTTTAATTAGATACTAAATAAAAAACATAATTAAATTTGTTCGAGTTGAAGTTTGTGCAAAATAATAGAAGGCAAAGATTGGCATATGAAATTCGTGGATTTGTAATTATGTATATGCTGGGAAATTGAAATACTCAAAATAAAATATTTCTTGCTGAACTTTGAATCAAGATCATGAATTATTAGGGGAATTCTTGTTTGGATCTAATTGTATTATATATATATATATATATATATATATATTGTCTAACTGAGCATCGAGTTCATTTCTAAGAATTTAGTTAATAGTTTATATCCTAAGTTTTGCACTTGCTTTGACCTGCAAAATCTTGACAATTATCAAGGTCATCTTTGTCAAATTTTTTGGCAATTAGTATGTAGATATAAAAATATAATAATTGCTTTCTTATAATGTGGAAAACTTTTGTTACTCAAATTTAATTCAAAAACTACAATGATATTCTTATATTTCTAAGTTGAAAGAATTCATCTGTAGAATGTTTCTTTCTTTTGTGACGAACGATCAATATAAATTGCTACCTATAAGCTAGTTCTTTTACAAATGCTGAAAAAAATTAATTACAAAATGCCTAATTTTATCACTCTATTGTCTAATTTTGTCTTTAATTGTTGACAATCTAATGCTTATTTGTACTAATTAACCAAATACATGCAACACAACAAGGTTTAGACATTAGTGCGTGAGAAAAATATACAAGACGGGGGGATATTTAAAAACTAAAAGAGGATTTTCACTATTTTAATATGATTAATTGAATAATCCGCAAAGCAAAAAAAAATGGGAATGATTAATTGAATAATTTGTAATGAAAAAAGAAAAAAAAAAGGATGAGAGGGCGCATGTGCCCCCACTGGGCCTTACCTTCCTCCATCCATGCCCCTGGCCACAATTCTAGTTTCCACACCAGCAGCAGATTTCGAACCTAAGACCTCTATTTTTTAGTTTTAAGGAAGCCTCTCGTAATCTGCCATTTACCACTAGACCACTAGCTCATGGTTATAGCAACAGAAGAATTGTTTACACTTACCCTTCTTAGCCAAATACACCAATACGGAGTCGCCACGTGGACACAACTGACACTCCCCTCCACCTCACCTCACCTTATCTGCCCATCAAAAGTAACAAGAGAACCAACAAGCGCACATCCAGGGACTGTTGGTGTGAGTCTACTCATTTTTGGCTATTTTATTGTGAATCCAGAACTCTTAATGTTAACTTGGTATTAATACATGTTAATCTTCTAACACGTATTGCACTCGGTTTCTTGTGCTTAAATTTATTTCCTTAATTAGTTGGGCTTTCGAAAAGCTGCATTAACTCTAGCTTAAGAGCATTGAATGAATGACTAGGCCCTCAAAAAGTTGTGTTGGTTCGATTAATGATTGATCGAGATCTACAAAAATTGTGTTAACTCTAATATAATGAATTGACCAATTTCCTTTACAGGAAGTGGTTTCTTGCAAGACCCTATATGGGGTCACTTATGAGGAAGCGTGTAGGAGTAATATAGTCCCATATCGGAGATATTGCAAAATAATATGTAGCTTATATATGAGAGGGTCTTTAGATGAGCCTATACTATAAAACGCATGGTAGATGGGTTGATTGAAAGATACAAGGAAAGATTGGTGGTGAAAAGCTCTTAGGCATATGGTAACAAGAGACCCTTACTTGAATTGGTTAGTGTAACAGTTTGATGTGAAGAATGTTTTCCTATGTGGTTATCTCAAGGAAGATGTGTATTTCATTTGTCTATAAGTACAAAAATATGCAATATAGTTACAGAAAAAAAAAAAATGTAAGGCGAGCTAAAATATTTCTCTAAAGTTGCATGGGATGATAATTTATTGTTACATATATACATACAATAGCTTTTAGATATTAGTGTCTCTCTTTTTCCAATGCCACAACTTGAAAATTAGCAAGCTCCACTAATGTAGTTCTTTATGGTACCGTTTGGTACATGGGACGTGATGGAACAGAGTGGGACAAGGCGTTCCTTCCCAAGTTTGGTGCGCCTAAAACGGGTGAAACGAGCTGTTCCACGGGACGAGTTTTGGGTGAATTTTCGTTCCACCTCACCCCCTGGAACGAGTCGTTCCACATCCCTGGAACACAAAATTATAACCTCTCCGTCTCCTTCTTCTTCCTCCTTGTTTCCATCTGAGGGCATCTTTGCTCCCGCTCCGTTCCGTCCCGTCCCGTCCCATCTGAGGGCATCTTTGCTCCCACTCCGCTCCGTTCCGTCCTATCCCGTCCCGTCCCGTCTGCATACCAAACGATACCTATATCCATACAACTTGTATTAACGATAATTAAGTCAAAAAATATGCTTTTTAACTACACCTCTAGTAAGTAAGAACCTCTCTATAATTATGAAAACCAAAATTATGACAATAGATGTTTTCCTGTACTTAGATAGTTCAAGTCAGCTCCAGAAAACGGGAGCATGTTTTCAAAGAGTGATCACTTGACGATAGATGGATACATTGATGTAGATTAGGCATACAACGTTACAGATTGGCAGTCAATTTTTGATTATTTTACTTTTGCTGTAGATTAGGCATACAAAATTACTGTCAACTTTTGGTTACTTTACTTTTGCTGAAGGAAATTTAATACATGACGAAGTAAGAAGCAGAATGTTGTTGCTTTATCAACTTCTGAAATACCATCATTCACGTCGTTCATGTCACTCCGCTCGTACCGTACCTTTAATGTAATGTTTTGGCAGTGAGAATAATTACGGCACCAAGAACCTTCATCGTAGAACCTCCTAATTTTCTAACTCATACACTGTCTTATGGGGACAACCAAATCCAATCCAAGCCTAAAAAAGAAAGGAAAAAAAAAAAAAGTCTTTGGATTAAATGTAGACTCGACCCAGCCCAGCCAAGCCCAGCCCCCTCACAAATAAGATATGCGCACATGTCGAGGGGTTATCTGTCGATATATCTCACCACCTCCCACTATATTAAAGCTCCTCTGCCACCAGAAACCCTCACGAGCCCTTCTCTTACCTTCTCTTACATTCAGGTATATTTCATCTCTCTCTGTTTCTCCGACATATATCGTCCCTTAATTCTCCATCAATTAGTTTCTAATTTGAATTCGCACTTGTTTCCCTAGAAAACCCAAATATTAACCCAGTAAATTCTTTTACTGCGCTTTTTCAACTAGTTACTCCTTTTTTTTTCCTCGGCCCTCAATTGGGTTCTTAATTTTATTTGGACCAAAATAGTTTTGTTTTTGTTTCTTTATCATTTCTGTCAGTTTTTTTTTTATTTTCCAATAAAGCATTGAGCATTTATATTTTGCAGGTCAGAATTCTTCTTTTGGTCCGGCAGCTTAAGCTTCAGCCATGAGGTATGTTTAATCACGATTATGCATTGGAATTGGGTTTTGTTTGCGGCAATTCAATAGTTGGTGTAATCCAGTTCCGAAAGATTGTGCTTTTAATTTAGCTTCTCGATTGTTAAAGCATATTATTGGTTTCTTGTTTTCCATTTGCTACAATCTGAGTAGTTTAAGGTGTATGATTCAAGATTTTGGCGTGGAACGATTCAAGATTTTCACCTGTTCTTAGTGATTGTCCAGTGAATTGTTATTATACAATTGGCGTGTATTCCCGTTGTTTGGTAGAGTTCTTTGGCTTTGATTGAGTGTAGTATTGACAGAAACCACGATCAATTTCTGACTTTTTCCATTTCACTACAGTAAACTTCAGAGTGATACTCTCCGAGAGGGTATTTCTGTCATCATGAATGCGTCCAAGGAAAAAAAACGTAACTTCACTGAGACTATTGAACTTCAGATTGGGCTGAAAAATTATGATCCTCAGAAGGACAAACGTTTCAGTGGTTCTGTTAGGTTGCCACACATCCCTCGTCCAAAGATGAAGGTCTGCATGCTTGGAGATGCTCAGCATGTTGAGGAGGTAGTGTTTGGTTCACTTGGCTAAAACATTGGCATAATATTGAATTTTATGAGATGTCTTTATAGAAGGGTTCCAAACTTCCATGTGTGTTTTTATTGGATTTTCTTTCACATTTCCCAAAGTTCAATACTTATTTTTAGTAAACACCAAACAGTTCCATTCTTCTTTTCTGCCATTCCAGTTATCTGCAAAATTTCTTATGTTTCTTAAAAGGTCAAGATTTTCACTTTTGTTACATGTCAATTTTACTGATTGGGATAGGATGATGAATTTCTGCAATTTTTCTTTGATTGAATACTTATCTCAAGCTGGTGGGTTGTTTTTATATATTTAATCACAGGCTGAAAAGATTGGGTTGGACTATATGGATGTTGAAGGGCTGAAGAAGCTAAACAAGAACAAAAAGTTGGTTAAGAAGTTGGCAAAGAAATACCATGCCTTTCTGGCTTCAGAAGCTGTTATTAAGCAGATTCCCCGTCTTTTGGGTCCTGGTCTCAATAAGGCAGGTGGGTATGCAATCGAATTGTTGGTGCTTGATTAGTGACTTTTAATTTATGCTTCGTATGCATTCTTTTATTATAGGTCCTCTGCCTCCCTTGTTGTGTTGGCTTGTTAGAATCGTTGTTTGTAATGATTCTTTTATGGGGTTATGAACTGTTGCGCCGTGTGCTTTTTCAGATTTGGCATGGGTGAGGTGTCCGAGGGATAGCCTGACCTAGGTGTGAGGCGAAGCCTCACGGGATCTAAATTTTTTAATATATACACTGAGCGTACACGTATATTATATTAAAAAAAAGAAGATTATTAACCAATAATCACCCTGAGCACACACATATATTATAAATATATACACACACATATATAGACATATATATATATTATATATATATATATATAATAGAGGATGAAAAGCACAACGAGCACACATATAACAGTGCGCGCAGATAGCACACACATCCATTATATAAAAAAAATTAAAAAAAAAAAGGCAGAGAGACGATAGTGCTAGGAAGAGGTATGAGGCAGTTAAAACCCTACCCAAAATTTGGGTTTGACAGTTAAAAAAAGCCCTAAGGGCCGCCTAGGTGGCTCCGACAGCGCCTTCCATTGCCTAGGCGGCTCCGGCGAAGCCTTACGCCCACTCCCTCAAAACAGAGGCTGCAACCCTCAAGCCCTCCTCAGAGGGTGCCTAGGTGCATCCTGAGGCGAGCCTTTTAAAACATTGGATTTTACTGATGTTCATATCACGGTGCAGGAAAATTTCCAACCCTTGTTAGCCACCAAGAATCCCTCGAGTCTAAGGTTTCCGAGACAAAAGCAATGATCAAGTTCCAACTGAAGAAGGTTCTTTGTATGGGAGTTGCTGTAGGGAATGTATCCATGGAAGAGAAGCAGGTCTTTCAAAACGTCCAATTGAGTGTTAACTTTCTTGTTTCGCTGTTGAAGAAAAATTGGCAAAATGTAAGTAGTGTCTGTTCTGGTTCTTTTTGAACTAACTCCTTTCGTGTTATCTTGCTGACCTTCCAAACTATTCATTTTATTATTTTGTTGTCAGTAACATGTTCTAAGATAATATTCATTTTATTTTTATCAGGTAAGGTGCTTGCATTTGAAGACTACCATGGGTAAGCCATATCGCATCTATTAAGTACTTTTGCGTATTTTGGGAGTTTTGTAGGGAGATGAGAGGTTATTGGAGCCTGATATATAATTGGAAGTGTGTTTATCTGAATGGTCAAGTTTTGGTATTGATTGGCTGTTTTACGTTGTTTAATGGTAATCGTCATGGTAATCTTCGACTAAATATATAAACTGTCGGAGTGGAAGCCTGGTTTTCATATTTTGGCGTGAGCATATATATATGAAGAACATTTTCTATGTTAGGATTGCAATTTTTCCCAATTCCATTGATTTTGAAGTGCGTGTTTCTGGGTGTGACATTGGTTTATCGATATCTACGTGTTATCAAATGGAAACGTGGGTTTTGTGTTGAGAACATTTTGCATGAAACCAAAGCCTAGAAAATAAGACGTTGTGATTATCAGTTGGTGTACAACGTTGTACATTGGCATGACGAGTGGATTGGAGCCATTTAACTTGCAACAAGTACATTGCCATAACGATATGGGAAAGCATAGTGTATGCATTTTGGCTTACTTGTTACGTGGGAAGCACTTATGCTCGTATGTGTTTTTGATCAGTGTGTTCAGAGAATTTAACTGCTTAAAATTGACTTGGGGCTAACTTGGTATTGTTGTGATATATAAAAAGTTGCATTTGTCGTACTTAAGGTATGGTTTGATACTGAGAGGATTTCGAAAAAAACTGGTATCAAAAAAAGCTGGGAGCATTTTTGTGTTTGGTAAACTTTCAACTTTAGCTTTTTTTCACAGTTTTGGATGAAAAAAAGCCAAAAAAACAGAAGCAGCAAAGGGCAGCTTTGAAAAACTGGCTTTTCAGCTTTTGTGCAAACCTCTTTTCTAAGAGGCGTTGAGGGCTTTAATGAAACTTTCATGTACCCAAAATGACCTTAAGCATTTAAAATGTCACACAGAGGTTCAAAGATTTACCCAGTCGTCAATTAGGAATGAATTGGTCTTTGATTAGTTGTACCAGTGATGCTTCGCTGGTTTCTGGGCAAAAAATATAGAGCATGCATTAGCACTAGTCCTTCGAATTTAACCTCAAACTTTATAGATAAAGTCAAGAGAGTTACCCATAGTTGAGATTTAGTGATTGGTGTAGATTCAATCTTGAGTACGTTGGAAAAATAACCAAGGTCACCAGATTTCTAGGCATGAACACAGAGAGGGCATTTGGGGTTAAATCCCAAGAATTTCATGCTAAAATTCGATATGCAGGATACAGAAGTTGTACCTGAGATTAAATGAAGGTTGAATTGAATTTGAAGCACGCCAAATTTCATCGAGCCTTAGGTCAACTCGTTGAAGAGTTTTTCATGGAGAGGGAAGGGTTGGCTTTCTTCATTTTTGAGTACTTGATCTTCACATTCAACGCCACCATTCGAATCCATAGGTCAAACTACACCTAAAACAGGGAATATTGGTATGGATTTCACTCGAAAATTGGTGTTGGTGTGGGTGATTCTCTCTGTAATTAGAGAGTGAGAGTTAGAGAAAGAGTTGGAGAGAAAGGAGTCTTACAGAAAAAGGAAAGAACGAGAGAAGAGGGAGACCAAATAAAAGGAGTGGGCCCCTCAAGGCACACTAAATAGGACCAAACCCTTTTAGGTCATTTCACATAGTCACAGCTATTTTATATAAAAGTTTACCAAACACTATAATACTGTTTTTTATTTTTTTTCAAAATCACTTTTACAAAAAAAGTTTACCAAACACTCTGCTGATTTATTTCACAACAGCTTATTCTCACAACATAGCAGAATCACTTTTTTTTCAAAGCATAGCAATACCAAATCAGCCCTAAGAATAATAATATAAAGTTGAGTGTTTGATCAATTATATTTTAAAAAGTGTTGTATGAAAAAGAGTGTAAAAGCGTTTGGTAAATTTAAATGTAAAGCAATGATAATTTTTATGACAAAAATAAACATGATAGTGGAGGTGGTGGCGGGGTAGTAGTGGTAATAGCAGTGGTTGTAAGGTTACTATTTTGTAATGGTAAGCGATGATGGTTACTTTGTTCTTCAAGAGATAAAATGTGGGTAGAATGATAAATAACGTCTTTTAAAAAAATTAATGAGGGAATTGCAGGAATTGAAATATTTATAAAAGACTCTTCTTTTTGTAAAAAGCAGCTTTTAAAGCAACCTGCAAGTTGCTTTGCTTCTCTTTAAAGGTCATAGCTTTATATGATATTTTATTTTTATCAAATACTCTTTTAGTGCTCAACCTTAAAATGAAGTAGTTTTTGGTGAAAAAACAGCAATATCAAACGAGGTGATTATGTCAACTTTTTAAACTAAAAACAAAAAACGCAATTGTAATCAAATGCATTGCAGAGTCACAAGCTTTATGATGGTACATGTGAAAGAGCAGGTTGAAAGAGTATAATTCCATATCACGAAATGCTCCAATTCTAACAAAATAGAAAACCAATAGCAGCAGTCGAGAGGAAACTAGGCATCTTGTAATTAGTTCAATATATTACATATTATGTTCGCAAAAACTATTTCGGAACAAAAGCGAAAGGACTGTAGAAAAGAGAATACAGCTGCAATTTAAACGGATGAGTATGAGTGTTACCCGCGGGTGAAAATGGGTACTGATTTAACCGTCAGGAGTGATTGACGACATGGAGGAGGTGGACTTCGACACAGTTACTGGTGTCATCGTTAAGTAAGATGGCGATTTTAAGTTCTGTAGTTTGTACTTGCTCTCGATGCCTCGAGTTGTTCTTGACATTTGCTCGAGAGTCCCTCGAGCTGATCTCGACATCCCTCGAGCGGGAATAATTGCTCATTCTATGTTACATTATTTCAATGAGAATGGTGCGGTACAATCGCCCTCCTCATTCACCTTGAAAATCTCGAGCCAGAAGTTTCGAGTGCTTATCATTTTGGCCTGAAGATCAAAATGAAAAATTTGTAAGAACCAGAAGTTCTAACATCATATTCTTCCGAGAATACATATTATTGCAAGTTCTTACACATCTCATTTTCTTTCAGAAAAGAAAATGGCAAACTTGGCGAAGCTTGAATTTGCTGCCCTGGATATTACCGGGAAGAATTACCTGACCTGGGTACTAGATACCAAGATCCATCTGGAAGCAGGGAATCTTGGAGATACCATCAGGGAAGAGAGTAGCTCATCCTCTCAAGATCGGGCAAAGACCATGATTTTCATTCGTCGCCATCTTGATGCGGCGCTAAAGAGCGAGTACTTAACGGTTGAAGATCCGTTAGCTCTCTGGAATGCCTTGAGAAACAGATACAATCACTAGACAATGGTGATTCTTCCAAGGGTCCGCTATGAGTGGACTCATCTGAGGATCCAGGACTTCAAGTCAATGGCAGAGTACAATTCTGCGTTGTTCAGAATTACTTCTCAGATGAAGCTCTGTGGGGATATTATTACTGAGGAACATATGCTGGATAAGACTCTCAACACATTTCATGCCTCTAATGTGCTCCTGCAGCAGCAGTATAGAGCGCGAGGCTACACTGAGTACAACCAGCTGATATCTGTGCTCTTAGTAGCTGAATAGAACAATGAGCTCCTGATGAAAAACCATCGTTCCCGACCTACTGGATCTGCACCATTCTCAGAAGTGAATGCTGCTTCCCTCAAAGTGAACGCCACATCCTCTGGTGGTGATAATCATAAACGAGGACGTGGCCACAAGCGAGGTCGATGGAATAGGAAAGGCAAGAACCATGGAGTTCAGTTTCACAACCAGGTTCTGAGGCATAATTCAGGCCCGAGCTTCAAAAATGTGAATCGCCACAAAGGCAAAGCTCATATGAACAATGCTCCCAGGAACTCTGAAGGAGCCTGCCATAGGTGTGGTGGCAATGGGCATTGGGCATGTACTTGTCGTACCCCAAAACATCTAGTGGATCTATATCAAGCCTCCCTCAAGGAGAAGGGTGTCGAGACCAATTTTCTCGACCAGGCTAGACCAATGAATATACCCAATCTAGTGTTTGACTTATCAGGGCAGTTGAACACAACTCATCTAGATATTCCAGACTTTATTGTGGAAAGGGGAGATGAAGTATATCGGTCCAATTGAATCATTGATGTACTTTTATTATGCTGAACTTGTAGTATTTCAGATTCAATAAAAGTGGCATGTAAATTTCTTGTTATAACTTGCTTTTAACTCTAATTCTCTTACTCAGAGAGCATGGATAAAAACTGTGGTTATTCTCAGAACATGAGAATTGGTCGACATATTTGTCTTGTAGACAGCGCAACCACACATACAATACTTCATGATCGAAAGTATTTCTTAAGCTTAATACTTACAAAAGTAGGGGTAACAACAATATCAGGACCTTCAGATGTAATTCAAGGTTTAGGGAAAGCCCAAATTATGTTACCAAATGGAACAATATTGTCCATACAGAATGCATTGTATGCTACTCGATCTACTCGAAATTTGTTGAGTTTCAAAGACATACATTTAAATGGATACCACATTGAAACGAAAAGTGCAGAAAATGTGGAGTATCTAGGCAACCTCCAATGAGACCCAGAAGCGTATATTGGAGAAGTTGCGTGGTATGTCGAGTGGGTTGTATTATACACATATAAGGACAATTGAATCACATACTGTCATGAACCAGAAGTTCATTGATTCAAAAGTTTACATGCTTTGGCATGACCGTTTGGGTCATCCAGGATCTACCATGATGCGTAGGATCATTACCAACTCTAATGGACATCCATTAGTAAGCAGACACATTGCTATCTCAAATGATAACCCTTGCAAAGCTTGTTCTCAAGGTAAGTTGGTAATTAGACCATCACAACTAAAGGTTGATGCTGAACCCCCATCATTTCTGCAAAGAATTCAAGGGATATTTGTGGGCCTATTCAACCATCATGTGGACTATTTCGATATTTTATGGTTTTGGTTGATGCATCTACCCGATGGTCACATGTTTGTCTCTTGTTTACTAGGAATGTAGCCTTTGCGAGACTTCTTGCTCAAAAAATTAAGTTACAAGCACAGTTCCCAAATTATCCCATTAAGTCAATCCAACTTGATCATGCTGGTGAATTTACGTTTTAAACCTTTGATGATTATTGCATGACATTGGGCATTGATGTTGAACACCCTATTCCTCATGTCCATACTCAAAATGGTTTAGCAGAAGCATTGATCAAGCGGCTTCAGTTAATAGCTCGCACTCTGCTTATGAAAACCAAATTACCAGTCTCTGCATGAGG